ATGAGACTCAGCCTTTGCCTTTCATTGCAAGGCACCGTCCTTGGGGTTTGAATTTGTTTTGTTGGGGTTTTTTGTTTGTTTGTTTGTTTTTAAAGTTGATACTTAATTCAAAGTTGCCTTTTATCTATATTTTGCACAAGTTAATTTAAGAATTAAACTCCCCAAGACTAAGAGTTTTCTTTCTGTTCAAAGGCCATTACCTACGAACTGTAACTCTGGGGCAGAGTGGAGCAGGCCCTGCAGTGCAGTACCTTGACTTTTCTTTTCCTGCAGGTTTAGCGTTTTTTTCAACAGGTCCATTTTCTTGCTTTTTAGACACTCTCATACCTCCAGCTTTAACTGCAAGAAGAAAGTACAATTTTAGTAAAAATATCTACAAAATTACATAGAGAACAAAAGAATACTTTTATCCCAGATAACTGTTAACCGGTAACTCCATGCTTCACTTGTACACATGCACACACAGGAGTAGCCACAGAGATCCAGCAAAGGCTCCAGAGTTCTGTGTCATGGCAGACTTGAACCAACTTCCAGATACCATAATCAAGAAATCAGAGGGGTTTCAGTCACTGCTAACTATACTAAATCTTAACACCTCACTGTGTTATATGCATTCTTCCCCAGAAACTATTACATCTGAGATTTGTAAATATAAAAAAGAAAACCAAACCAATATCTAAACACTTTCAGGTTTTTGAACAATATCACTAACAGCAATAAAGATTTCACGATTAGTTCAAGGTATTCTAGAATAAGTAATGTAGATAAGAACCAGCTGCATACTACTTGTGTTCCAACATGTTTAATTATATTTTATTAAGATATCTGCCAATCACAAAATCAATTAGCACTAATTAAGCTACAGGCAACCTAACAATAACAATTTAAGTTCTGAGGCATGTGTGAAAATTCAATTCTGAACAAAGTTATCTAAAATATTCTCCTGAAAGAAACCCTTTCTCCCTCTTCAGGAGGATATTTTAAGTTCTGGGATGTACTACATAGCTGTTTTGTAATTTGTTTTTCAAAGCAATGGAAAGCTATGTCAAAGTTTTAATACGGAGTTCAATTTTTAGATATTCATAAGTGCCCTGTTAGCCGTGTAATCTAACAGTTAAGTGCCAAAATCTTTACTAATTTCCACATTTAGATCAACATGTATTTTTAAAGGAAAAAAAGAAAGTAAGGAGGAACATCCCCCTTTATGCCCCCTACCAAAAAAAAACCCCAAACCTCAAACCAAAAAACAAAAACCCTACAACACAAAACCAAACCCAACACACTCAGACTAAATAAAGCCAACTGCAAACTGAGGCACTGAGCTCAGCTGAATCCCTGACAGAATAAAGGCACCCACTTGAACCGCCTTGTTCACTACATGCATGGTTCAAATCACTGCTGCCACCCCAGCCCTCTGCAGTCACAGATACGCCTCATGAGGACTTACTTGCAGACTTGCAAGACCACAAATTGCAGTTTAGTGTCATGGAAATCCAGGAAGGCCAGTACCTGCCCCAGGTCACTGACTGCAGGGGGGTAAAGGCCCTTCCAGGTACGGCCCGACCGTCCCTGCCACACACACAAAAATCCAGGACAGGGGGGAGAGTTAAGTGCTCCTAATACACCGGAGGGAACCCCAGCTGGCTCAGTGTGTGTGGTGAGTGTCCCTCAGCTCCAAGGGCCGTCCCTGCAGTGACTGTCCCTCAGCTC